TCACCCACAGCTTGCTACATTTGAGGCAGGCTGGGTCTCATTTGTCCCAGTCATTACTTACAGGGTGAACTTTGATCTTTTCCCACAAATGCTTTATGGCAAGGCAGACTTGACCTGCATCATAAATCATGAAATACCCTGTTAACAGAGTCTGTATGAGGTCTGATGAAGTCTGGTAGGTGATTCGCAGAAATTACAATGTACCACAGGGACAGCTCGCTGGCTCTTTTCTTGAAATGTGAGCATCAGAGAGGGGCAAATTTTAACTGACTGTTGTTTCATCTCAAGCTCAAATACCTTTGGAAAGCCATCTGCAAACAGCGAACGTCCACTGTCACAGCAAGCTCCATGGCCAGGGTCTCTTTTTCTTTTAGGATAGTTCTGGGGATTCCTCTTCTAGTTTCCCATAAGACTCCACAGACTGAGCTGGAAGAAAAGCTGTACTTGTTTCATTCTCCCTCAAGGGTTTGACTTCCTGAGAGGCAGACGCAGGACAGCATACTTGATGTGGGGTAAGAAAGAGCAGGGATCACGTTCTACCCCATCCCCGCTCAACTCCAGTAAAACAGAGATAATAAGAATAATATTAGTACTGGTCAGGGGGTGTTGGGGCATCAAAATGAGAAAAAGTATACATTCACTTAGAAAATACACACTCAAAGCATGTTGGTTATACATGCATAGCCCTTATGGCTCTTTACAGTTCTTGACCAGGACTCACACTTCCTGAGTCATGAGCATGTGATGGGCACTGGCCAGATACAAGGACTTGGGTTGAGAGTCAACTTTCATCTTTGCACACCAGCACTTTAAGGCCGAAGGAAAGTAAGTGATGTCCACAGGCATCCTAAGTTATTGTAGGTGCCAAAGAAGAAATGCAGCTGCTAGTGGTGAGGGCACAAACGAGAGAATGGTCAACTCTACCTAAAAGGGCAGTAGGGAAGGAATTCTTGCCATGAATTCTGAAAGGCAGGGAGGGCCCTGGCTGGACAAGGGCTGCCCAGCATCACAGGGGAGGTGCTGCAGAGGCAGATACGGAGGCCCGGCGTCTCAGGGACACCGCTCATTTGGTGGGGCTGGAGTGGCAGGTGTGGGGGCAGAGGGCTCAAGCTGATGGGGCCAGGTACTAAGGGCATTTCTGAGGCCTTCCGGGGCTGGACCCCTGAATTTGGACTCTACCTTGTTGGGCCCTGGGGAGTCTAGGAAGCATTTTAGGGTGAGAGATACAATCAGTTTTGCCTTTCAGAAAGGTCCCTGTGAGGAGGATCACAAGTTCAAGGCCAGCCTGGGGTATTTAGCGAGACTCTGTCTCAAAATAAAATTTAATTAAAAAAAAAGCGCAGTGTTAGAACACTTGCCTAGCATACATGAGGCCCTCTGGGTCCCATCCCCAGTATTGGGAGGAAGGAATGAAGGAAGGAAGGAAGGATGGAAGGAAGGAAGGAAGGAAGGAAGGAAGGAAGGAAGGAAGGAAGGAAAGAAGGAAGGAAGGAAAGAAGGAAGGAAGGTCAGATCCCTGTGGCAGCCTCAGAAGGGACTGAAGTGTGAGGCCAGAATGATAGTGTCTACAGGGCTACGACACTACTGCATAGATGGCATGAAACGGAAGGGTCTGCATAGGCAGCCGCATGGGAATGGGAGGGCGAGACAGACTGGAGACAACTTTAAGAGGTGCAAAGACTGGTCTTGCAACAAATGTACAGGAGGGGAAGATTACAGAGAGTGCATGGCTGCCATGTTTCTGCCCGCAGCGCCTGGTGGACTGTGGTCACAAACACCCCTGCAGGACCGCCTTCGGGAAGAAGCAATGAGCACAGCTT